TAACTCTAGATTCTCGAATATAAAGCAAGTGGATGCTACTTTACTCGAGTCTGGTAACTGTTTAACCAATATTATAGAATTTTTTAAATGTTGAATCTCTTGTAAAATTCATTATGTGACTATACTGTCAGTCTTTTGACTTTCAAGGGATTGATTGAGAACAAGCAATAGCAAGGGTTACCAATTGGTGAAATTATTTCAGTTTTATTGTTAATGCAAAATAATGTAATATTTATCTCTCACTACTTTGCTAGAAACAGTCGTCTACTTGTTTACTCTAAGACTGTAAAGCAATCAAAGAATTATTGGAGGGGGACAAATCTCTCACTCACTCATTCCATCACTCACTCACTTTCCTGTAAACTTCATTTTTACTGGGAGCCCATCAATCAACCAATATTTTGTATTGAGTAGTTCTATGTTGTCTTTAGGGTCCTATGTGTGATCTGCTGTGGAGTGACCCTGATGACCGTGGTGGMTGGGGAATATCACCTAGAGGTGCTGGATACACCTTTGGACAAGACATATCAGAAACATTTAATCATACTAATGGATTGACCTTGATTGCAAGAGCACATCAACTTGTTATGGAGGTAAGAATTTAGGGTATCATGCAGGGATGTTGTTGTGTTAGTGTAACTGTCCATTAGCAGAACTCGCAGGATTAAGTAGAGGCACGTTAATAAACTGTTGAATTAAGGTTGGCTTGTATTGGAACTTGCTGCTAGGATTTTGCACAGCTTCTAAGTGAAGCATATTCTTGAGTATCGTATTTACCCATGTATAAGCCACTCTTTTAGATAAGCCGCACCCTGAGTTTTAGGAACGTTTTTGAGGAAAAAAAGATGGAAAATAAACTTTTCTCCTTTTGACCGCCACTTGTGAACACAGCTTTCTTTGATTTTAAAGTGCTTTTCCGCTGCTCAATTTCCATGATCCATGCATTTCATATGCAATTACAATCAGTTTATTTRACTTGCGGTGTATGATGGTCTTGGAGACATAATTTAGATTGATAATTGATACTATAAATCTCATCGTGCCGCCAAACTTCTAAACATATTAAGGATCATGCCGAAACCATTTCGTATTTAAAAAAAAATATTAAAACAGATTGTATTTGTTTAATATAAAGAACACTTTCTTAGGCTTATTTCTTGGGTATTCAAAATATTTACCCTGGATTCTTCACTTTGATTAAGTGTGACAAAGTCACTTAAATGAACAATGCAAATTGAATTAGCATCGCGTTACCAAAACAACTCCAAGACAAAACGATTGAAAATGCTCTCTGTTCATGGTTATTGGCTCAATAACCATGCACTTTTCAGTTTGATTTATTGACTTGTGTTTCTCAGAGCTAGACTTTCGGAGAATTTACAGTACATGTAATACTGAGAAGTTTGGATTAAAATTTCTTCAAACTTATTACATTACTGATGTCCTGTCTTCTCGCACCCCCGATTTGGGAACGATTTTTTTGGAAAAAAAAGTGTGGCTTATGCATGGGTAAATACGGTATTTCAGGAATCATTTTGTCCCTGGTTGAACAAAAAGTCTGCTTATTAATGGCAGCCATTTTGGCAAATGGCTACTATGAATGCTATTCCAACGGTCCAATTATAGAGTTTTCAAAATGTGTCTAATCATTATGTATATGATTAATGAATGATTATTGCTTTGTCAGGGTTATAACTGGTGTCATGATAGAAATGTAGTGACTATATTCAGTGCGCCAAACTACTGCTATCGCTGTGGTAACCAGGCAGCCATCATGGAACTGGATGACTCTCTCAAATACTCCTTGTAAGTGCATGTACAGACTTATAATCTCCACTCATTTATTAAGAAATCCTAAGCCTTCACAAATTGAAACGTACACCAAAAAAAAAAAACAGACCAGGAAGCTAAAGAAGCAGCAATGTTGCACAACATGTTAAAGGTTTTTGCAATTCATATTTCTCTGTCATAAAATGGTCTGTCATCACCCCACATTTTAATAGGACATTGTAGTGATTATTCATAAAATTTTCATTTATAGCCTTCAGTTCGACCCCGCCCCAAGAAGAGGAGAGCCACACGTCACACGACGCACCCCAGATTATTTCTTGTAGAAGTGAAGTATTTTAGAACAGTTGACGCAATACCTAATCATTAGTTATCTGGGCTAATAATGATCGATACTAGTCCATATCTTACAAAAAGCCGGTCTATATATGGAACCATATATTATGAAGAGAGCTACACTATTATGGAAGAAT